CTTTCCTGGTATCTTTCAACCAGCCCCACCTTGGACGTCTCCTCAAGGTGGGTTTTTCCCGTTACCTTTCAACCAGGCCCCACCCAGTATGCCTCCACTGGGTGGGTAATTCCCCCCAGTTTCTTTCAACTGGAGGGCCAGGTACCTGGATACACCACCTAATAAAATTCAGGATTATCAACCAATATGGGAGATCCGAGAACCAGTATAGACTCACCCAAATTCATCTGGACCCCCCGAGGAGGCGGATGGGCACAAAGGGCCACTGCTAGTACCAAGGCTCCGGTTCCTCGGAGAGTTCAGCTGGAGATAAGTCTGCTGTGGGTCCCTTCATGGTGTCCAAAACTGTTGACTGAAATACATGTGCAGCCTAAAAGTTAAGAGTATGTTTTATTTGGCGGGAGGACACGAGCCGGGATGATGGTCTCTCAGATTGCTCTGAGGGACTGCTATGAGGAGGTTGGGGTGGAGCTAGGATATATAGGAGCTTTACGGCAAAGACCAGGTTGTTGGAACAATAAAAGATTGCTTGTTATCTAAAGAAAGCCAGGTATCTCAAGTTAAAGAATTTAGTGCTATTCTATGTATCAATTGGCCTCACTGAATTCATTCTTTAGACAAGCACCTAGCTATCTAGGGCAATTATCCTGTCTTTTTTTATTCTCAGTCTGTTCAGAGGGCACCATTGTGATTGGCTGAAGAGGCTGGACTTCAGGCCTGTCCTCGCTGGGGGGTGGCGGCAGCCTCTGATGACTTGGTTTCAGCATTCTTTGTTTACCGACATGATTGTAGTATTTTCATTCACATTGTAGTATTTTCATTCACAGACTGTGGATAATCTGGAAACTTGGAAAGGAACCAAGATGGAATTACTGCAGGTCCCTTCTACTTTAATATTCCGTGTACAAACTTAAACACGGATGAAGCATACATTTGAATTTGGTGGTGTAGGGAAGGGTTTCTGCACATTACAGGAGAAAGCAAGTCAGAATTCCTCTTCTTTGTTGGCAGGGATGTGGGTCCACCTGTCTTTTCTGTAGCGGTTTCTGAGAGCAGTTTATGGTAATTAACGAACATTGACAAACAGTGGCACACATTGCATTTAAGAGCTGGCCGGCTGGAAACTTGTGTATTGGACAGGTGGATTTCATAGGCAAGTGGTCAGGTGGATTGGAGAGAGGTGTAGCCCAGGCCTGGGCTCAGATTCAGGTTTAAATCACCATGTCCTCACCATTGGGACTTGGACTAGAGTGTAACCTCCCTTAAACTCTTGGTGAATCTGTGAAATGTGCATTATAATATTTGTTTCTTCCTGTGTTTGTTGTAAGTTGCAAACAATATTATAACACACATGAAGCACTTAACACACTGGCACTTAGCAGTGTTCACTGTGTGGGGCCGCCCCGCTTAGCGTGTGTCAGAGCCGTAAAGGCAGCATTTGTCTTTTGAGAATGCACTGGTAGCCCCTTGAATAGGTTGTGAATTTGGTGATTTCCTTTAATCCTTGAAACTCTACGTGCCATGGGCAGTTATTTTCATGGAAAGATGAGGAATCTTAGGGTAAAGAAGACTGTGTAATTTGCCCAAAGTCAGACCATAATTTTGGGTGCAGGGGCCTCGATTCAGCATGGGCCCCTGGGCTTTCTGCCCTCTCCGTTCAGCCCCAGAGCCAGACGTGGGGTCGCCTGTTTCCCAGCCCAGAATATACAGTAGGCAGCAACACAAACCTGGACCTGTACTGCTTAAGCAAAAACTCCAGAGGGGAGGCAGGTACTAAAGGGATAAATGTAAAAACAGACGACTGCACACTGTGATCAGCTCTGAGGAGGAAAGGATCACGTCTCGCCGTGCAGAGCTGGGAGCTTTCCCGTCGGGGCTGCTCTGGGGGCGTTCATTTCAGCTAAACAAACTCCGCTCCGGCACCAAGGTAGGAAGGGAGGGCGCTTGTGGCCAGGTTGACTCGGCCTCGTTGATCATACTCATTCCCCATTAAGCGGCAGCGGTCACGGGCACTTACATAGTAAACAGATGTCGGCCATAATCATCATGCACTTTGCTTGGTAGTTTTATTGGCCTCACATTTGAGATGAGGTCATTGAAGCTGGGGAGTTTGCTGCATGCCCGTGATTACATTGGAAATACCCCCACTGGTCTTTCAACATAGACTGGTGTGGCTGTTATACCCCAGCCTTGTGAATGGCATCGTGTAGCTTCTACCAAGTGGCCCAAATGACTGACATTGATTTTCTTAATCCGTAGGAAATGGTATGTGACAATAAGTGGAAAAAGGTAGTACGAAATTGTTTGGAAAACTAGAACAAAATCCAATACTTCCCCAGCTAGGGTAGCGTACTCAGTGTCACTCATCCCACTCACAGCCTGACACCTCCACCCTGCCGACCCTGTGTTCAGAAGCCACTCTGAACATATGAAGAACATTTTGCCTCGTGTCACTATTGACTAAGACCTGTGACCTCTCTGTCCCTGGTTATCTCTCTCTTCAAAGCCATTTAAATTTTATGCAGGCTCCTCCGCTCAGATGTAAGAAAAACCTCTTTAAACTTCTTGATGCAGCTCCTTAATGAAGATCTTGCGAAGGAAACCTAGTCAAAACCTGGGATGTATGAACATAGTGACTGTAATCTCAGCATTTTGTGACGTTCAGAATCAGAGGGGTGGGAGACACAGGAAAGGCTTTTTAACGTAGAAAGAGGAAAGTGAAAGGACTCAGGCTGTGTGAGACTGAAACATCTCGGTCCCAGCCAGCAAGGCACCTGCGTTCAGGATGGTGTGTGGTGAGTACAGAGTTCTCACAAAGAAAGAAGTGGTGGGATGGGAGGGAGGACAGATAGATTCTTTACTAGGGAAGGAAAAAGTGGGCTGAAAATTT